ATTTTAGGTGTACACCGCTGAAAAGTATTAAACTAAGATGAAACAGCTGTCCAGTACTCTCTGACTAATCTCGATTTCGTTCTCTAACTTGAGATCAATCAAATCCTTTTTGAACTAATAATTATGAATTTCTTGAATGACGATTTCAATCGAGTACTCTAACGTTTAGAAAACGTGAAACACTCCAAAATAATTCTTGTCATGTAGATTTTAATTATCTATTTACAGTAATATTTCTATACTGACCATCATGGTGATGATGGATTTTTTATGCATGACTTCTTTATTGATCATCATCAGAGAATAAATGTATTCATGATTTTTGCTTATTCAGAAAAACCGAGTTATACGTCACCTCTCTTCTGTCATATGAATTTTTTCAGTCAGATATATATATGGTCTTTGGAAAAACACTTAATGCTCTTTTTCTTATGTTCTGATAGAGATATAAGTAGTAGGTATACATCAATCCTCTCTCAAATAGCTCAGTGGTAGCGTCTCTGATATCATCACTGAGTAATGGGAGGTGGAGTAGAATCTCCGATAGGGAGGGGGGGAAATGTTTCCTTCGCGATTGAAGTTATACGCCTTGCTAATAAGTGCCAATAATCACGAATTTTTATTTTATTTTATTCCTTTACTTTCCCATTGGAACGTAGGGCTTTAAGCTACTGGTTTGAATTCCCGGTTTTTATTTTTACCGGGTAAGGTTGCTAGCCTCACGCCCAACCCTCCCTCTTTACCGGACTTCCTAAGAGCTTAACGAGGTAAAGGAGTGCGTCGACCGGGGATCGAACCTCGGACCACATGTGTAGTTGGCGGGCGCCCTACCGCTGAATCACCGACGCATAATAATCACGAAACCTAAGTCCAGTGTGCTTTGCCTTCAAGCACCTAACCAACACATATTTTGGAGAAATTTTGTCTGAAGGAGGAGAGGAGGAGGATGGAATGACTTGGTTATAGATTAAGCAGTTTTATGTAAAGATGAAAACTTGTTTATCTAGATATGTTACACAGCAAAGTATTTTTTCCTGTGTGTATATGTAATAAATAAACGTATATGAATCATTGATATAAGAATAGAACTTGTGCACTGTGGTAGAATGTAATTCCATTATGGGTAAATTTTGTTTTGATTAAGTCTCACAGTGTTATACAGTAATGTTTACTGATGACGTTTCGAGCACCTTGATATGATCATGAGCAATAAATTGTGCTCGAAACGTCATCAGTAAACATTACTGTATAACACTGTGAGCCTTTATCAAAACATAATTTACCCATAATGAAACGTATATGAAGTTAAATTTTAATTAGCTGTGAACCACACTGTTTTCTCATGAAAGTTTAAGGTGCTACTTGTTGGCCTAGACTGAAGAAGTTGGGTGGTATGAACTAGCAGAAAATTAAGTTCTTATTCTAGTAATCTAAATATCATACTATGTGAGTCAAGTAAAATGCGAAATTCATACGGATACTATTGTACAGTCACTGTAAGATGGCACGTTGTTTATGTGTAATCAAGTTCGAGTGAATTTCACTTCAACAACCTGGTACGACCGAGGGTGGGTAGACTTCGGTCTTCTTCTCAAAAGGCTCTCATTTTGCCACACCTTCATAGCCTCTGCCAGGTAAGTCCTATTCACTACCTTCGCCCGGTGGAGGTGTTACTCACAAAAGTAAAAGGGTGAATGTGGAGATCTGGCGCTTACACTTGGGCTGGCGGACGTGCTGGTCTACATAGGAGATCTTGAAAACCCAAATTCTAAACCTATGATTTACATGGGCTCTAGAACCAGAACGGATTGAATAAAGTACGAACCTTTTTAGTCACCGGAAACCATGACAAACCAGCTCCTGACACTAGTGCACTGCCTTGTGCGTGAGACTTCAAACTAAAGTTTCGGAGAGTGACTCCCTAAAGCAACTGCCTGCTCCTATCTGGGCGTCTTGGCAGTATCCCAACCCTTGCTCAAACAATGAGATTCTTTGAGACACATGTGTTCGTCTTTTAATAATAATAATAAGAGCTCGCTTCAGTTGTATATATTTGTCTGTTTACTCTTTCTCTTTCTCCCTGTCTCTCGTTCTTTCTGTTCCTTATCCTAATCCCTGTAATATTCTACAACTCTTGTTACAGCAGAATTCAGTGGTATGTATCAGCAGAATTGTTTATTTAAAGGAATGATGTACAATGATGCTGAACTGCAAAAATCTCACATTAAAATTTCAATATACAAACATGATGCTTATTTTCTGCTTCTTTTGCCTTCATTTCATGCTTTTTACATTGTTTCAGATGTATTCTTTATTTCCTCTATGCAAGATTCGAGCGGAAGACATCATACACACACGGTATTCCACTTACAAATTCTTGTCAATAGTATACACCACACCACTGCTACCAAGTATTTTCTTCTTCATTTTGGACTATTAATAGTCTGTAGCACGTAGACATGTCCTATTCGCTGTATTTACATTGTTCTGTGAGAAAACATTCAGCACTGTAACCGTTATACAACTACTGGTTGACAAGATTAGTTAGCAAAAACTGAAATGAATTCGTCTCAATCTCCAGTGCATTGGTGGCACAGTGGTTTTGACACTCTCCAACCATGCACATGGTCTAGAGGTCGATCCCCGGCTGACGCACACCTGATACTAATGGTCGGCCTACATGCTGAAAATGCCATACTTGTACCAAAATACTGTGTGGAACCAAGCTAAAATAAAATAAATGAATACAAGTTATTGTATTTTTAAAATATGTTTTTACTAAGCTTTACTTAGTTGTCTAAGTTTATTCAGAAAAGACTGTTAGATGTGCCATCCTGTTATTTTTATTTCATTCTATCCATCATCCTTTATAGCTTCGGAGAATAAAAGCCTTATTTATATACAGTCTAGAAACCGCTTAAAGTTCTGTATTATGACCTTGACGATGTATTATACTTATCACAAGGACGTTTATCTTCAGATTTATAAATCATGCTTCATTTAGTTAGTATCAAAGTCAAGTATTGCAACATTTGTCAGCAAAGTTAGAGACTATTGACCCATGCTAAAGACCAATAATAATAATCTGCTTTATTCCAAAGACAGTAATTATAATACAACATGAAATTTTTAACATTTGTCACAATATTACATCTAATTTACTCAATATAAATGAGATTAACCACAGAAACTTTTCCAAATTTTTACAGTAGGAATATTTTCAATAATGTGAAAAGTATCGTCTCTTGACACTGCATGGTGAGAGAAAAGACAAAAAATATTATTAGTATTACAGAGCTTAAATGGTGTTTACTCTTATGAAAAAATAAGCAAAAGAAAATGGGGGTGGACTATAAACTTAAGAAGAAGAATAACAGTAGATTTTTAAGTCTTGGTTTTGTAGGGATTGCGTTTGATTGGTTGGAGGGTTTCATCATGAGCTGATATCAGTTAGAGAACCATTGGAAAACCTACAGGTAGTACTTGGCAGCTGTTTCTTTAGCCTAGTTTGGGACTCTTTGGCAGTACGCGCCCACCGGGATTCGAACCCAGGATGTTCTAGTTACAAAGCTTGATGGTATCAGGATAGAGAATATTGTTTATTTACTAGTGGTAAGAAGATTAGTTAGTTAGTTTCCACCTGACACTGTTTTCATCCCCTTGAAATGACCAGTCAGGATAAATCAGGCTAATTTATGCGGGAAAAACTCCAGTATATCCTCTAAAAAGATGTCTAAAGAAGTTTAAAATTAATATAAAATGATAGTTTTATTTGGAATGTTGCCAGAGATGACTTTCTTTTTATAATTCGATTATTGGCTGTTCACAAAATGGCTATCGTTTAAGGTATGGAGTTATGTCTCATTGGTTCAAGGAGCTCAACTTCCATACAGTACATCAAGAGTTTGAAACATGCACTCTTATACAGTAGGTATGACTCATTCATTTTCAACTTGCATCTTTTAAGGTCACAAACTAGAGTTAGTCGTTATGATTAAGTTTTAGGCACTTTTTTTACGTAGAATTTATTCTGAAGAGCATGCTTTAATAATAATAATTTTGAACCCACTTTCTCTGTTATAAGTGTATTCATCTATAGAAAGTCTCATTAGCCGCTTCAAAGTTATTCATGCACTTTTTCACTTATTTTTCTTTAACTTTGTCATTGGAATTCAAATCACTTTTGACAGGAGATAAGTGTAATGAATTTATCCTATCCAACAATAAAGGAGTCTGTGTGTAGGTGGTTGGTTATGGTATAGAGCTCCGTTCATTGACTGGAAAGTACATTTTATTGTCAAAATTACTTCAACCGATAGCTGTTTGCAATTTACACAGTTCGAGGAGGTGAAATTTTACTACACTTTCCTATAGTAACCGAAATTATTCAGATCGTGCTATGTGATCTGTTTGTGATATCTACTATAAATGACAATCAAGAAAGCAAGCATAAATTCACGATGCTATATACTACAGGCGTCGGTGGCGTAGCGGTAAGGACGCTCGCCGACCATGCACATGGTACGGGGTTCGATCCCCGGACGGCGCACTCCTTTACCTCACTAAGCCAGAACTAAAGCTGGTGAAGAGGAAAGTTTGGGCATGAGGCTAGCAACCCCATCCTGTAAAAATAAACACTGCTACAGAAACTTCCAGCCTCTAGCTTGAAGCCCTATGTTCCACTGGGAACGTGAAGAAATAAAAAAATATAATATACTACTGATTGGTCGAAATGCGTAGAATTGGATACCATTCACATCAACCCCTGGTGTTTGTTAGTCAGATCGAAGTGATCGAACATTCGTCTCGTTCATTTGTGATCGATCTCATCATTGGTGTGATTCAGGTCAGAGAACTAAACTTTAGTATGAGCAGTGATTCAATGTTTAAGATTATGCTTTCATTGTCAAATTGTATAACAAAAATAACATTTCAATTTATTTGATTTCCTTTTTGATTACTGTTATTATTATTATTATTATTGTTGTTATTTTTTCTAGGCTAATTCTGTAACCAATCATTTATGCAATGCTCAATCTTTTCAACTTTCGAATAAAGTAGTATTGGAGACAAATAAATCTATGCCACATCAACAGCATAAACAGCAACATGAATCATCAGCAGTTATGCGTACTGAACATGCATATCCTTTGTCGAACACATCCTGCTTTAAATCACCACCACCACCACCATCATCGTCATCATCATCAGCATCTCCAATAAAATGTCAACAGCCTCAAACTCCACTTTATGTGAGTGTACAATCGTCTAATAATTTAAAAAATATCACTATAATAAATGAATCCTCATTACCGCCGCCGCCGCCGCCACCAACATCATCATCATCACTGTCATCTGGACAATACAATGAAGATCAGAGAAAAAGTAGAGATTTCATCCAGTAATAGTAATAATTGGCTTTCTTTCTTCTTCTCCAATTACTTTTTATTAGCAAAGCAGAAGATGCGAAATCACCAGGTATACATATATATATTTGTGTATTCTATTCAGCATTTCTTATCTCCCTGTTGATCTTCTCTTTCCTGAGATATGATGCTTTATTTCTTACTACTTACCTCATGTGTACATGTGCATGTGTGTGTACGTTTGTCTGTGTGCGTGTTGTTGTTGAGGCCTACAGTATACAGTGCAGTCCTACTGTGTAACACAATTCCAATGATAACAAAACATAAACATAGTAAAGGAAAGTGATAATTTTGTTAATATGTCCTTTTATTTGTTAATGTTTTGTTTTGTTTTACCGTTATATTTTCTTTGCTTTTTGTTTCCTTTTTTTTGTGTGTGTGTAAAGTTTTCCATGAATTTAATATGTGTTTCAAAACTTGATTTAATGTGTTCTCCTTCAGCATTCCTGTTTGTATATTATGTCTGTGTGCATCCTGGTATGCGTGCGTGCGTGCGTGCGTGTTGCATATTGTAATCACCGTGTTCAGTTTAAGATAGTTGATATAACAACACTGATCTACTCCCTCTTTTTGTTTTCTTATCAGGGAAATGAATAACTTTTTTTTTCAGATGTATTGAGTGCTATTCAGTTTGTTTACTTGTTCCTTTCTTCGTTTGTCTGGCTGTTTGTTTGTTTGTTTGTTTACCTCTTCTTTCGCTTAACATATTGATTACATTGTTCAGTACTTACTTATCTGACTGTGTATGTCTCGTATAACTTGAGGTGATACTATGTCAGCCTAATCAAACTCTGATTACCACCGCTTGAAATTTTTCTCGCCTAAACGATGTAGGTCTATGCTTCAAAATGTGAGAAAACAGAAGAAAATGGTTGAAAGCTGGCTTTCTGTGTACTTTTTTCGTCTTATAACTGTTGATTTCATCGTGTTTGTTCATCTCTGTGTTGATTGTATTGTCATATATGTAAATATATCTGTCTGTATGTGTGTCGGTGCGTGTGTGCGACTCTGTGTGTATGGGATACTACAACATGGACTCATATGACCTTAGAACTATTATTGTTTCGCATTGTTTTACACCCAAATCATAATAATAATAATATAGAATCAAACCAACGGGCTTTCATATACATATATAATAAATACATATATATACACATGCTCCTTTTGCTTAAGAAGATAAGCCAGACCAAAGTATTGCATACAGTACAGTACAGTAAAACAGCTGATATATATATGAAATAGAGGTTTTTTTCCTACTCTATTTCTTTTAATCTGTTTTATCATCTTTTTCACTTCTCTTCCACTCCTTGTTTTTTTTTCTGTTGTTGTTATTTTTGTGTTCATGTTTTGTTTTTCTCCTTGAACAGAAAAAAAGGATTATTTTTTATCGATGTTTTATTCTCTTTCTGATGAATTGTTGTCCCCTCCCCTGCCCTGTTCTGCCTGCCCTTCGCCGTCTCACACGCATACACACCTAGATGATGGGTGTGTGTATTATTTATTCACTTTTAGTGTTTTTATATATTATTGTGAACGAATCCATGAAGGAATGAATGAAGCCTTCCAAAGATATGAATACGGGGAAGTGACAAACTGTTCGCCTCTTTCTCTCTCTCTCTTTCTGTTTGTGCGTGTGTGTGTGTGTGAAAATTACTTGTGAGAACATAACTGTAATTATACTTATTCTCTCACATTTGGAAATCTCTAGTATAATATTGTGCATTTCTGTATGGTATAATATGTGAATTACACTCAACATTCGATAATATTGACATTATATATAATATTTATTTATTTATTTATTTAAGGTTGATTTTGCCACTTTTATTTTGTTTGTTTTTATCCTCTGTCGTCATCATTATCATCATCATCACCATCATCATCATCATTTGCTTTGACTCATCATTACATACTATCCGATGTTCTGCTACTCTGCTCTGCTCTACTCTACTCAACTCAACTCTGCTCACCTGAACTCAATATACATCTATCTACCTATCATTTGCCTTTTGTTTGAATGGTTCCAATGTGTCTCTGTGCGTGTGTGTGTGTGTGCGTGTGTGTGTTTATGTCTCTGCACGCACGCACGCATTGGCACCAGTATGTATAAATAAATGCATCAATAAACAGAGTGAATTCTATCTCGTATATACATATATGAATGATATACACACGTATATATACACATATATTCGCCTTAAAACGAATATACTACTTATATTGTTCAAAATAACAATGATTATTTTTAAAAGAATTTTATTTCTGTGACTTGTGACATATGGATTTATTAGTCAATGATCATTGTTGTTTATTTGTTTGTTTGCTCGTTTATTTTGTTCATTCTCCGCTATTTTCTTCTTCTCTCTCTCCTTATTTTATGTTTATTATATTTTGTTTGGTTTTTATCTCGTCTCTTTTGTTATTACTAGTAGTAGTTTTTGCTAATAAGTAGTAGTACTTAAGACTGCTGTGTTATGTTTCTTTTTTAATTCCTTGTAGATAATATATATTGTTATTATTATTATTATTATTATTATTATTATTACTATTTTACACTCTGTATACATTTGATGATTCAAAATAAATAAAGCACAGTGTGTTGTTACTGTTTGACACTGGAGTTATTTACTTGTTATTGTTGTTCTGTCTGTATGTATGTATGAGTCTATTTCACCTTCGTGTTAACTCCGATTGTTTATAGCTTAATTAATGTTTATTATTATATTGTAACATAGGACTTCCGTAGCGCATCTGCATTTCATCGTGTTCTCCCTGTAGCACTTTTTTAGCTGACTCCACGATTATCCATAAGCATTGATCTCCTCTTCACACAATCTCCTTCATGAGCTTATTGTTTCCCAGTAGTCAGTTTTACACTCGAGAGATTACCACCACCTAGCGTGTAATGTCATTTAACGGTATCCTCAGCGTGTGTCCAATCTGTCTTTATTTCCTTCTTCATATCAGTTAGGTTTTTGATTGGTTCGTTGCCAAAGTTCCTTGTTGCTTATCCTTTTTTGGCCATCTGATCTTCAGGATGTTGGAAATGCTTTTGTTTTTTGTGATGCCTTAAATCTCTGAACTATATAGAGGCATTAACTTCACATTAGTGTTGAAAATCCGAATCCTATTCCTTATGCTTAATGCTGTAGATTTGCACACTCGTTTCGTATGAATGAAAGCTTGTCTTACTTTTTTCGATCCAATCCTGGCTATCTTTGACGTCATTATCTTTAATGTCTGTAGTTGTGACTATGCAGCCCAGGTCAATTAAGTGGAAGAGGTGAACTCGTTTCGATTTCTCTCGGTGATAGCGACTAGTGTTTTTTTTATTGTTGGTTAGTTATCTTCACCATCTCTTTCTTCCCTATGTCCTCTTGAAATCATGTTTTCCCTGCTCCTTCTCTTCGGTGGCTTTTGTCTGTAAGTCTTCGAGTTTTTTTTCAATGTGAGACATAAATCATCCACTAGGTTTAGATCTACTAGACTCTTTTTGTCGATTCAATAAATATCCATCCGTCTTCTCACATCCCATAGTCTGTTGCGTAATCCAGTATAACACAATCAGGGATATCACTAGTGATAGTAGGCAGCCGTGTCTTACTCCTGTCTTCACTGTCTCTGAACTGATCGTTGTGAATCATTTCACATGTGGTACTATCATACAGCTGTGGAATGAGGTCTATGAATGTTTGCGCACTTCACTGCATAATGTTGTAGTATTTCCAAATTACTTCCCAGTCAACGCTATCGAACAGTTCTTCAAAGTTGATGAAATTAAAGTAGAGAGTTGACTGTCATTCTACGCTGTATTTGATAATGACGCTTAATTTTACAATTTGTTCCGCTCATGGTTAGCATTTCTTGAATTCAGCTTCTTCGGGGAGGAGCTTTGCATCCATAACATCTTTTAGTCTCTCCAGGGTGTTTCAGCTTGAAGTTTTGTTTCAGGTGGACAGGGGCAGTTATCGCACTTTTATGAAACCCTTTGTATTCCCCACTCTTTTTGAATACGGGACTGTTTTATCCTATTAGTGAATTTAGAATTTCCAAGTTCATTTGAAACCAATATGTATATAAGTGTTCTCCTTTCTAGTCAAGCAATGTTAACTGACATAAGATTCGGTCAAGAAAGAGTTAGAGGTGGTCAAATCAAAAGCAGATATCAATCCATGAAGTTATTAACTGTTGGTTGTTTACTATCTATTTTAACACCAACCTGATACATTATAGACACCAAGACATACGCCACACAGAATTTCATAGTTTAAGTAAGGCCTGGGATGCTACCCGAAGCAGGTGGTTGTTTTAAAAAACCACCCGCGGAGTCTCTGACTTGAAGTCTCAAACATAAGACAGTGGAGCTGCGTCCCCATGAATGCCAGTTACCAAAACATGTTCACTGGCCATTCGATCCTTTCGGATTCTTGAGTCCGTGTACACTATAGGTTTGGTATCAGGGTTTTCCAGCTCCCCGAAGTAGACCTGCATGTCCACTAGTCCGGTTGTAAGCGCTGGAAGTCCGCATTATCCCTTTCGATTCTGTGAGGAACAGCTCCTCATAAAGACAATGAATAGGACTTACCTGGCAGAGGTTATGAACGCCTTGCCACATGACAGGATTTCGACAGGAAAACCGAAGTCAGTCAACCCTCAGCTGTACCAGCTCCTTTATGGGGGCCACGTAAGGACGTGTAGACTAGCCGGTTGGGATCCCTGAGACTTTTATAACTGATGCCTTCAGATTGTTGGTTACATGTCTCAAAGTAGTCCTCAATGGCCAATAAGTATTCACTCTTTTTTAATCTTCTAGATTAGTGTAGTCCTCGTGTTTTTCCATGTTACTACTCTTTCTCCTGTGCATTTCTGTTCATCATAGTTCTTTTGAGTTTTTTCCTCCACCTTTGTGTGCTGCATGGAGTGTGGCAAGTTGAACTGCTACACTTCTGTGCGAAGTTCCACGTTGAAACTTCAGTCAGTCAATTAGTTATATATTCAGCATGGTTATCAAATTAAATCTCTCTCGTCAACAGTCCGTCTTCCCTGTTGTTTTCGCACGCCAGCGGTAGTGTTGTGGTTGCGGTTGACTTTGATATTCTCAATTAGATTAGTTTTCATTAATGCATCAGCTTTTTATAG